GTTGAATCATCGTTGTACCCCATATTCACCTCCACATTCACTTCTAGTCGATGGATTTTCATCTCCAAAACAGCCAATTTCTGTAAAAGTTTGTCAAAGTCCTCTGTGGTGAAGGGAGGCATTTTGTTCTGATTAGCTGGTGTCAACTTGTCCTTCTTTTGAGTTTGATTATAAAAACATCAAAATCCTTTAGAAAAAAAATAAAAATAATAATAATCCTTGGGAGTCGCTGGTAAGAAGTTGTTTTAGTCCAATATTTAAGTAATTTTGGCTAAGAGATAAACGTTAGGAGGAAGAGAATGCAAGCAAGCAGGGAGCTTAGGAGAAAAGCGTCTGAGCAGGCAGAGAGGCGGAAGTAGAAAAACACACATACAGCACCTGTTTTCCTCAGACCAGCAAACAACAAAACTAATGCTTATATACTGACAGTCACATTATATTAATCAGTTTATCAAATGTTTAATTAGCAGCGCCAGGCTTGCAATTTCATTCCTGAATCCAATGAAGCACCAAGGCTGTTCTTAGTTAGTTTCCGACGACTAGATGATGGTCAGAACCTAATTCTTATTCACCTTAACAGTTCAATTTATTAAAACCTTGACTTTTTATTCTTTCATAAGTTTTAATCGTGATTATGCTTTGTATTGTTCACTCAAAACTGGCTGCCTTTTCCACTATGAGGCAAAAGTAAAAGATAGCATAGGCTGGTGTAACCCATTCTCTTTCTTTCAGGTCAATGAATTTGCCGGTACTGGTGGGAGACCTGAAGCTGGTTATCAACGAACCAAAACGGCTTCCTCTGTTTGATACTATCCGACCTCTGATCCCACTCAAACATCAAGTCGAGTATGACCAGTTCACGCCCAAGAGGTCACGGTGAGTACAGCGTAGCATTTTAGCTGTTTTTCCTGTAGAGACAATCACAGCTGTATTGTGTTTAGGCCAACGGGTTTGCACCTCAATAAACCGTGATGCTTTCAGGAAGCTTAAAGAGGTGCGCTTGGATCGATCACACCGTGATGGACTGGGGCTCAGTGTTCGAGGAGGACTAGAGTTTGGCTCTGGACTCTACATTTCGCAGATTGTCAAAGATGGACAAGCTTACAATGTTGGCCTTCAGGTATGTAGATATTACAGGGACTTTTTTTTCTTTTTTTCTGTTTTCTTTTCTAGTTGTTGCACATTTTTACACAAAACGAAGTGCACATATTAAAATCAAAGAAAAAAATATTTTCCCTTTTCCAGTGCATTGCAAAAGTTCTTATGTCCTCAAAGTTTTTTTTATATTATGTAAAGTTAAAACCACAAAATTTAATATATTTTATCCAGATTTTATGTGACAGGCTAACACAAAGTAGCACATAATTTTAATGTAAACAGAAAAGGATATATGGTTTTTTCTATACAAATGAAGATCTGAAAAGTGTGGCTTGCATGTGTATTCATCACCTCTGAGTCCATCCTTGGTTTTGCTACAGTTATTGCTGCCAGTTTTATGAAGCATGTCTTTACACGCATTGCATATCTATAAATGTTTCTTCATTCTTCTTAGCAAAGGAGCTAAAGATTAGTGGGATGAGATGAATAGCATCTGTTAACATCAGTTTTCAGGTTTTGCCCCATGTTCTCAATTGGATTTATGTCTGGTCTTTGATTAGGCCACTGTAACAAATGAATGCATTTTGTTAAAAACCATTCCATAAAAGCTTCGGCAACAATATAGAAAACAGTTTGGGTTTCACTCAGGACATTAATTATTTTTTTGAAATGTTTTTGAGCAAATACAAGACTTAAAACAACATTGCATTTAAAATATACAATTGTCCTGTCTATAGGCCCTCTAGCCACAAGCTAATTCACAGGCTCAGTCCCTGGTTAGGCTTCTAGAAGCTGACCTTTAAAACTAATAATACAAAGAAACCTTTTTAAAATAAACAATAAAATAAGACTTCAGTACAATAAAGAAGTTAAACTTTGAAACTACCTCTATATTCAACAGAACTAGCAACCTGTTATCTCTTTTAGAACATAAAGAGATCCTTAGATAAAGGAAATTAGTTGGTGCAGTATTACTAGACCTGAAAAAGTCTTTATATATAGTGGGTAATGAGGTTCTATTCAAAAGTTACACTTCTCACAACAAAATCATTGATTTCATTCGTACACAAAAAATAGAAACAAAAGTGTTAAGGGAAACTTACGTTGGTTGAGCCAACTATCATTATTTGGCTGGACAAAATAACCCAGCATGACCTTGTAAAATTGCAGACTGTAACATAGGTGTTAAATGTCACAGATATGACATTTTCATGTTTTAGATTGCTAAAGTTAGCTAAAAGCAGATGTTGTACACCCAACTGGCGTTGATAATTTCTTTGGGATTATACAATTAAAAAAAACTAATGTAGGACTTTCAGGGAATAGTGTCTTTATCTATAAGTTTAATGAGATGGACATTATTCATTCTCTTCTTCTCAGTCCCCGTACTGTTCTACAGCAGTCATGTAAATGTATTGCAAACCGATTTAATGAAGAAAAGTGTTATTCAGAGACAAATCATGAAATAATAATAGATCACACAAATTAATAGATCACGTTGTATTGAGGGCTGCACGGTAGGCGCAGTTGGTAGCACTGTTGCCTTTCAGCAAGAAGGTCCTGGGTTCAATTCCCGGCCTGGGGTCTTTCTGCATGGAGTTTGCATGTTCTCCCCGTGCATGCGTGGGTTCTCACCGGGTACTCCGGCTTCCTCCCACAGTCCAAAGACATGCC